ATCGATGAAGTTCACTGTATTGTGAAATGGTAAGACAATATTACTTGAAAAAATTATACAATTATTGTATGCCAATTACATGTCAATATTTTTATTAATATAGACTGATTTTTTGTTGGGCAGACAAATATAAAATTTCAATTATCTGTCAAATCATTCACCACACAATGGCTTACAAGGTTTCCCAGGCATTGTGAGCTTTGTACCCATAAATAAAGCACCTTTAGGCTGATGGGAGTATTATTAAGGTATCAGCTTACTGTTAACTTGGAAAATATTTACAGTATTTGTGGAAAATTTTCATTTTTCATGATCCTTTAAACTTGGTCATGCATCAATGATAATGTGGTTGGATAACAGGAATATTGCAACTGTATTTGTTGATTTAGATGTTACAATGTTCTGTTGTTTTTATTCATGTCTACATCATTCTATGAAATGTTTTATAAGCAAAACGATATAGAGCCTGTGCCTTTTGGCTGTCAATTACAATCTTTACCTCGGCTAAGAGCAGAACTTGAGACTGCTTCTGTCTGGTATTCATTTAATTAAATCATCTAACTCAGCAAACAATTTCACAGAATCTACAACCTTTCATTCCATATAGTTATTAGTAATTACTCTGTTTATTTACTCAACAATGTCACACTCACAGCTTTGTTTGCCATTACAACTTTGCAATAACTATACATTATTTGATTGCTTTCAGAAGTGCTCCTTTGCATTCTACAAGAGTGAAACAATACTGTAGGCCTCCTTAGATCGATATGCAAAATAGCCCACTTCAATGTTATCACTTATCGACACTGTTTCAAATGAAACAATAGTTACCACATCAATATCATTTAATATATGTATATTATTATTAGTGCCATGTGTAGTTTTAGGAATGTGTTTTTATATGTAAAATAATAAAGCAGAAGCAGAAAACGTGCGACAATGGTCAAATACACATTACAATCAACCTCAATATTGTAAAGTGTAATCATAAATATGGCTTATTTGCATTGGAATTATGCATTGGTGTTAGGAATTGAAACTCCATGTATCATTGCTGTCATTGGCGTACAAGCTGGGGGGGGGGGGCACCAGAATTTGGGACAATCTCTTTCCATTTTTTGGGCACAGACAATGACAAAATTAAAATAGTGGGAGGAAATATCATTGGGAAAAAACTTCTAATATGTGGGAAAAATATTATTGTGAATACCAAATTTTTTGGAAATCAGTGAAATATTAATTAGTTGGATTTTCAAAAAATCGCAATTCCAGCTTTTAGTTTATGTGTCATGGGGGGATGGGAAGTAAGGTACCATATTGCTGATTATGTTGAAAAAAATAAAAATGGTGGCCATTTAAACATCATGTGATAGCTTATACTTGTAAATATTGAAATATTTCGGTTGTTTCGGCAGTTCGTATTGAAATTTTTCAAGCATAATCAGCAATATGCATGATAACCTTACTTCCCATCATCCTTTGCACTTATAAATTAAAAGCTGGAATGCCTATTGGAATAGGCCCAATACGCCTGTGATTGTGCAACATTTAATGAGATTTATTTAAAGTGTTGCACCAAACAACAAATGCTTGAAAATTTGTGGCCCTTATAAAAAACACATTCCAAAAACTACACATAGCACTAATAATAATATACATATAATGATATTCTCAAAAGTGTTGATAACATTGAAGTGGGCTATTTTGCATACCGTGCTAAGGAGGCCTATTGTTTCACTCTTGTAGAATGCAAAGAAGCACTTCTGAAAGCAATCAAATAATGTATACTTATTGCAAAGTTGTAATGGCAAACAAAGACTGTGACATTGTTGAGTAAATAAACAGAGTAGTAACTATATGGAATGAAAGGTTGTAGATTCTGTGAAATTGGTTGCTGAGTTAGATGATTTAATTGAATACCAGAAGGAAGCAATCTCTTGACAGCCAACAGGCACAGGCTCTATATCGTTTTGCTTATAAAACACTTTATCAGCTAAGTTAGAATGATGTAGACATGAATAAAAAAAACAACAGAATATTGTAACATTTAAATCAACAAATACAGTCGCAATATTCCAGTCCTGTTATCCAACACATTATCATTGATGCACGACCAAGTAAGGATCATGAAAAATTTCTACAAATGATGTAAATATTTTCCAGGTTATTAAACAGTATTAAAGCTGATACCTTTACTCCCATCAGCCTAAAGGTGATTTATTTATGGGGTAAGCCCAATATTGTGTGGTGAATGATTTGACAGGTAATTGAAATTTTACCTTTTGTCTGCCCAACAAAAAATCAGTTTATATTAATATTGACATGTAATTGGCATACAGTAATTGTATAATTTTCTGAAGTATATTGTCTTTAACCATTTCACAATACAGTGAACTTCATCAATATATTAGATATTACAATTTCCTGGGTTTTTGGTTCTACGTACACATCATTCAATATAAATAGCTGAAACGCTTCATATATTAAAGCGAAAGGAAATATAAACTGATATAGAGCGGATTTTTCTGATCCCGTTGGCCGAGAAATAAAACAATCGTTATTCGTTACCTCTACTCTAAGCAGATTTGAGAGTGCCTCAATCTGGTATTCGCTTAAAGTTTCCAACCTAATAACCGATTTCACGGAATCTATAGCCTTTCTTTCGATAGTTAAAATAGTTATCATATCTGTCGTTATTCGCCATGGCAAATTCGCATTTTTGCAATACACCCGCGCTTTCCCTCCCCCCTGCTAATTTTATTGTTACTTCCGGTGAATATTAATGAG